CAATACATAGAAAAAAAGGAGAAAAAAAAGCAACTGGTGCAAGCCGGCTGAGCTACCAGTAACAGATGGGCATCGTTCCGGTAAGCTACCAGCCGGCTGCTGTGCACCAAAGAAATTACTATGCAAAATTATATAAGGCTAAATAATGAGATCGTAGTTGGAGGGGGAGGCTAAGAGGAATGGGGTGGGACAAAGAAACTCAGTACGAACGCCACTGATGTCGGCTCCTAGCCATATCAGTAAGTGTGTCCAACCAAACGTGTACATCGTCTTTCGGACCCCAACCAGGGAGCCGAGACGCTCCAACTGAAGTCAGCTTCGAACTGAGGGCCTTCATTCCTCTGGACCAAGTCATCCGTTGGCCACCTCTCCTCTTCTTCCATCCACACCCTCGGCGTGCAAACAACACACGTCGCGGGAGTCGGTGGGCTGATATGCGTAACACGTGGCGAGCCATCGGAGCCTGGTGCGTGAAATAACGGTTTTGAGCGGTTTAGTTCCTTTTCCCGTGCCGTAAACAAGGTGTCGAACACGCTCGTTACTCACGCGGTGTTCCCACCAGATGTGAGCTAAATTACGAAGGCACCGGTGGTCGAACGTAACTAGCCTCTTCAGGTCCGTTGCTTTAAGGGGCCAGGTTTCCCAACCGTACAGTAGGGTCGAACGTACCGCTGCATTGTACACTCTACCCTTCAGGGCTAGAGTGATGTCGCGCCGCCGCCATAAGTGGCGAAGGTTAGCAAAAGCACCCCGAGCTTTTGCTATACGGTTCGTGATCCCATCTTCAATCCCAATTGCGCTGATACAACTTCCCAGGTAGTTGAATTTCTGAACGACTTCTAGTTGATCCCCACCAAGGGTCAGCGAAATAGGCGATCCGTGCAAATCTTGGAGGAACGCTTTGCACTTCGATGGTGCGAAGCAAAGCCCGAAGTGAAGGACAGCTAGTGCTAATCTGTCCAGTGCCGCTTGGCACGTCTGGGAGCTGTCACAGATTAGGGCAATATCATCAGCATACTCTGAGACAAGAAGTCGTTCTCCTGGGACCAGAGCCACACCTTCTAAGTCGTGTCCTGTGAACGCGATTTACATGACTTCGTCAACAGCAAAGTTGAAGAGGAAAGGTGACAGCGGGCATCCTTGTCTCACACCGCTGGAGATATTAAAGGGCGACGACAACTTGCCGTAAGCCTTCACTCTGCCCGAGCTACGCGCATACAATGCTCGGATAATAATTACATATTTCTCAGGTACACCTTTCCTGAGTAGACAGTCCCAAAGTGCACGTCTATCCACCGGATCGAATGCACCTTTGATATCGAGGAACACGACAATGGTGGGCCGCCAATATATGTGACGGTGCTCCAACAACTGACGCAAGGTGAAGATGTAGTCAATGCAGCCGCGACCTCGACGAAACCCGGCTTGCTCTTCACGAATCTGGCTTTCACGAGTGGCAGTCAGTCTGTGAAGGATGACAGAGGCAATCAATTTGGAGGCGATGGAGATCAGACTGATTCCTCTATGGTTACCGCATTCCGATCGTGAGCCTCCTTTGAAAATTGGGACTATGACGGAGCGGCTCCAATCGGTTGGGACAGTTTCTTGCTCCCACTTTTTAACTAGTAATTCGTGTAAATCATCCGCAAGAGCAGGTCCCCCGAATTTAAAGAGGGTTGGATGAAGATCCTCAGGTCCAGCGGCTTTATCTAACCTCAACGGTTCGATCTCACATTCGACTTCTGAGCGAGAGTGTGGATCCAAAGGGACAGCCCATGGAGCGGGGCGATCAGTGGCCGGCGAGAAATCTAACAATTCCGGCCGATTCAATTACCTTTCAAAATGTTCACCCCACGCTCCAAACGTTTTGACAAGTTGTGGATAGGCTGTCCACTCTCGTCACAAATTGTTTCATTAACACCAGGTCTCCTGCTGCCCGTTTCCCGTATCAGACGGAATAACTCACGATGGTTACCAAGGGCAGCGGCCATTTCCATCTCTGTTACACGATGAGACCACCAGGATTCGCGGTCTCTCTTCAGGCTAGCACGTAGTTTCGCCCGGAGCTCTTTGTGAGTTTCATTGTGTTCGCTTCCAGCCGGAATATGCCGGCGAACATCTATAAGTTCCGGAGACTGCGAAGAAACCCAGTGTCGATGTTGCCGATTAGACATACCACATGAGGATTTGCCTGCTGCAAGTAAGTTTTGGTGAATATGAGACCAGTGAGCTTCAATTGCATCCAGTGAGCGTTTATCCAACTCGGATGACAGCGTAATTTACTAGGCATTCAGAACAACGGGCTTCACCAGTTGGCTGGTGTCAATGCGCTCACAACGTCGTCTTGGGCGTTCGCCAAAGCGCATCCGAATGTCAGCATATACAAGTGCATGATCGGTGTCCACACCTGTGCTCCAAATCAAGCGACAGTTCTGGATGCAGCCTCTCCAGCGGTAACTTATCGCAATGTGATCGATCTGCGTCCACAGCTGGTTCAACGCTGTTGGGCGCCAAGTCACCCTTCGGCGGGTGCTGTGTCTGAAAGTAGTGCTCGCAAGAAATAAGTGAGCATCCTCACACAAAGGAAGTAACCGCTCACCGTTATCACTACGGGAGCCTACACCATGTTGGCCGCCCAGATGCAGCTCATCAGTGGATAATTTTCCAACTTGAGCGTTCAGATCCCCAGCCAGCACTACAGTGTCCGAGCTTCTTCTGTGGCTAAGGAGCTCGTTCAGTTGACGATAGAGGTCATCTTTTACCGAGTCATCGCTACAGTTTGTCGGTGCATAGGCAGCGATAACGAATAGACACCTGTTAATCCCACTCGACTTCGAAGTTTTGAACGAGTCAGCCAATCGGACCGCACACATCCGGCTACTGATTGGAATCCAATCAACCAGAGCAGCTTCAGTCCGGGGACTCAGGGCAATACCAACACCAGTTTGGCCGGTGCTCGAAGCTGCATCGTCACCGGATAGGCGCAATGAGAAAGTGCTGCTAGTGTCACCTGAAGGGGATCGCAGAGTGAGCACCGAGCTCGAGTCTTGCAGGCCGTCTGAACCAGGTGAATTAGGAAAGTGCAGACTGTATTTCCTCCAAAGACAGGATGCGCTGTTCATGCAGTCCCCACTCTGATGACAGAACGAAGTCAATCACAGGGACGGTTCGATGCTATTCTTACTGACTCAGATGGTTCCTTGCGGCGTCGAATATCACTGGAAAGCATATAATGATGAGTTTCCCTCAACTACGAAGTCACCGTTGCTAATCGGTCGTTTATTTTTCCACGGTGCACAGTTGCATGAATCTCTTCGCATAACTGCTTTTCACTTAACTTCACAACCTAGTGGAATCGGTTTATTCTAATTTACCTGCTTCGATTCCCATAGCGACGCGGGAATTATCTCAAGCCTAATCTGACTGCACTACTGCATGGGCACACTAGAAACGTCTCCTTTCTCCCCTTAGGCATTGCGATTGCAATCAGCATGAACAGAAGTGTCACTAGTATCTTGGAATGAATTTGCATCCGACTGAGATTATATAATTTTAGTAGGTTTTGAAATACAACGGTGTTTGGAAAGCCGCAATACTAATATTTACAAGCAACTTCTGACGGTTGGCCACCGTCCTCCATAGCTCAGTGAGATAACTTGCTGATTAGTAACACAAGCTATTAGCGGTCATAGGTTCGGTCCATGATGGAGCCGGAAGGTGCACATCACTGACGAGCCCCAATAAAGCAATACGGCCGACTGGTACTTTTCCGGATTGGTCTTGCACTATCTGGCTTATTAGTTGCTGGGTCGAATCAGTAAAATGCAACTAATTTAATTGACGCTGCAATCCACCTACCTTGGTTTGACTACAAGCCATTTGGAGTTGGACCAGACCACTTGAGGTGGTCCGGGCCATGCGATGCATGTTTGTAGACAGACAATCCCAGTGGAGAGTGTTTACTGAAAGTGGACACGAATGTAGGAAACCACAAACTGACCGTACCTTGAAATGGTAACTGAACTCAGGGGAGTTGATTAAACTTTCTATCCACTAAGAAAGACATGGTGCATCACTAGATGGAAGCGATCAACTTGTTATCTGTCGTGGACTGTACACTAAGATGGGCTGAGTAGGTGAGTCCGTGGGACATCCACGAGAGACATTGTGAGGTTATTTAACTTCCTTCACTCGCAGCAAGCAACATCCATACAGTCTGAGCCCACAGGCTGAGAGTCTGCATCGTCCTCATAATCCATTTCACTGTCTCCTGATAGCCCTTCGATTGGATATCTACACTGTTTCCAATTTTCTTCTTTGCTCTTTTCTTCATTGTTACGGATACGCCGCACTTTGGTACATTGGCAGTTCTACCTGTTGTTTACTTTTGAGCAAAGAGGCTAACTGCGTTTTCCACTATCAGTGTTTTCACAGTTTGGCTCGTGCCTCGCGGAAACTATATGAGCAATGAGTGGGTTTAATGTCTGGTTTATGGTGCAGCGGGGGTGGTTGAAATGCTCACCATCGTGTTCATCACGCGCTATAATGAGCAGCCTGATGTTGTGGTCAGTCGTCATGGTTGCTTGCTGGTTACCTCAACCATCCAACTCTCGAGTGATAAGAACCATTGTTCCAGCTTACGTGCCTTTATGCATAGAACACTACATTTGCAGCTGCCCCTTGACTGTATGAGATGCTCTCAGTCTGGTGATCTTGGTGTAATCATTAGGCATTCTCCGCAGCAACCTCTGATGCCCAGCAGTTTGTCAGGGGTCCTCATTATTTTGTACCATCTGCTTGCTTTGCTTCCAAACTCAACCAGTGGCTTGTCCAGCTAGATTTCTTCACTAGTGTACTCGCTTTGGGTTCAGCAGATTCGTCGCCAAGACCTTTTCCTCCCCTTATTTCCCTTTTCGCTGATTGGACGTCTTTCGAATTGCGCTCCTCATGCAATTTATTTTTCACTCATCGTTGTCATCCACCTCCTTGTTTTACTTCAGATAAGTTATCTTACAACAGCTGACTCTATTCTCCCCACAAACGCCAAGGATGGCAACCCCATGTGCGTCCCCAATCTGTTGAACGGTGCTGTTTTCACTCCCATAGGCCAGAATGCAGCTGTCACAAGTGAGTGGGACTTATCTTCGTACTCTACACGGAAATGCTTCCACTATTTCTGAACACTGTTTGGAAAATTGAATTCCCATTTTCAAATTATTGCATTTATCTCCAGAGCCCGAGTTCAGCGCAGACACGTGAACCGTCAGGATTATGATCAGACTAACCACAAATTGTTTCTCCCTGAAGTCCTCCTGCCGTTAGATTATCTTTTATGGACGGGCGGTTAAGCTCCGTGTTCGCTTAAAATAACTTTCTTGCTGATCAAACTGCCGTACGTTTGTTTCTGAACACACGGACACCGCATTGCATGGATCTTCACGTGCTTCGCGGTCCCGAGACACCACACTTTTAGCTGACAGCCGACCAATTTCTCAGTATCACCAAACAACCACAGTAAAACCTCTGTAATTTGACCACTCAAGGGACTGGACCAAAGTGGTCAACATAGAGAGGTGGTCGACTTACGGAGGTCCTATGCCAAAACTTAACCTAACCTACTTCCCCGTTGTGAATAGTGTAGTATGTAATTTATTTTCACATAAACCCGTTTTGAACATATTAGACGAGGTCTCACGTAACGGAAAGCGCAGTTCAGCAATACAGTGTGCATTTCGCAAGTTAAACCATTTTTTGAAGAAAACGACGGTCCCTGTATATTTCTCTTATCACAATGAAATCTGAAAAAAGCACTTAACACATGCCACACTCGGACATGTCGTGCTCGGATATTTTTCTGCAGCAAATTATTTTAGTTGCATTAAAAGATATCTGACTTCATCTTCTTTTGAAGTTTTTGTCATTTCCAAATACGGTCACATTCCTTCTACTTCTTCACCAGCATCATCAGGTGTTTATACTTTGTTTACTTTGAGAAGTACCGCAGTCAGCATCTCTTGGAAAATAATATTTGAATCTGGTTCAACGCTAGTTAGCCAGTCATCATCCATTTCAACAAACTCTTTAAAATCTATTCCGTCAAATTCTACTAACGGAGATGGAATATCTAATGAAGCGACGTCATCCCGCTCGAAAGGTTGAACAAATCCGACTTCCGTGAAAAACGTCTGTATTATTTCTGGTTGGAATTTGAACCAGGCGGAACTTCTCCGAAGCACATCATCCAAGGCATTAACTGAAGCAACTGATGAATTTCCTTTCGCATGGGAATCATTAGTATGCAGTTTGCCATAGCCCATCGCATGAGCTGGGCGGTTTAAAAATTTTGATGATCCCTTGGTCCAGCAGTTAAATTTGTGATGTCATGTTTCGAGGCGGAAACTATAGTGTAATATTCGTGAGGTTTGCTGCATGGATGTGACTAGAACAGTATTCCACTGTTAGGATAATGAACCGTCTCTTCTCCATCATTTCTCTGTCAATACTTCTGCTCCACTCCACAAATATGGCAGCAGTCATCCACGCAGATCGGTTTGAGCTCCAGGTGACTGGAAGGATTTTAGGATTTAGGTTCTTGAACGCACGTGATCTAGCTGATTTACTAATGATTCGGGGCTTAAGCTTCTCCCCACTTGAGTTAGCGCGCGACAGAACTGTGGAACGTTCTTTGAAATGTTTTCCACTTACATTTGTCACACTTTATAACAAGGCTTCTGTTGGGAACGTCTTCAAAAAGAGACCGCACTTGTCAGTGTTAAAAATGTCGTCATTGTTAGTAAATTTTTCGATACAGTCTTGAACAAACCCTTCAGACACTTTATTCGATTCACCACACGAGACGCTTTGGGAAATTGAATTGTAAAACCCATTGATTGGTCAAAAGTCTGTGTAAGCGAACATATGTTTTCGGTAATTCTTCCTCAGGCTTTTACAGTAGATCAAGAGTTGTATACAGACCCAACGGGTCGTCAGTCAGCCAAATTGATTCTAGTGCGCTATGACAAACCGTCGGTCAGGTTCCAGTTGTAGTCGTACGTGCGTACAGGTCAACTGCAGTCCGTCCTGGCCAAGGTAGACTCAACGCGTGAGTGAACCTTTTCTGCGTGCACAGCGCTGGTTTGTACAACCGGATGGCGATGGCTTCTGCGGCGTCTAATATCCGCTTACGGAAATACTTTGATCGATTTTCGGGAACCTGATAGATTACTTTGAACGAATCAGCCGACTTGGTGGCGTGACCCGTATCCGTAAGATGCGCGGCGATGGCACAGTTGGTGGCCTTTTGACCTCCATTTCCGAGCCAAGCCGGATGGTGTTCCCTCACCGTTTCGGCTAAGCGTCTTGTCGTACGACCAACGTAGCCTGCTTCACAGGAACAGGTGAAGAAGTAAGCACACATAGATTTGGTGTGGACAGGCAGCTTGTCCTTGAAGTTTAGTCTCACCATTGGGCTACTGGTGAACCGGATTTGCAGCCTGGCTGCAGGGAAGGTATTCCTGAGTGTGGACGGGAGACGGCTGGATAGATTCTCTGATATTATTACCCCTTGGTAAGGCAGTTGCAGGAAAATAGGTTTCCGTTCCGCCGTCAGGACCTTAGGTGCCTCCCTGTTTAGCCCCATATTGACATTAATAACATGAGCATATGCCAGCACTGCAGCGACTAATTAGCAACAATCAACTTCTGCTTACCCGTCCAGACAAAGGTGCCGACATTGTTATCCTAAACAGAGCAGACGGCCTCAACGAGATGGGTGAATTATTGGCAGATGATATGAAATTCTTGAAAATGATTGATGGGCGAGACAAAACAAAACGGATAGAAAATCAACTGTGCGTCTGTTTCAAAAAGCTTAAGAATGGTGCTTTTATGAGTGAATCGGTCTATGAAGATCTACGCCTGGTGGCCACGGTTATTCCAAGGCTTTACGGCCTTCCCAAAACCCACAAGCCTAACTGTCCTCTTCGCCCAGTTTTGGACATGAGAAACTCCCCATATCACTTGATTGCTGGTTGGCTGGTGGAACTTCTTGAGCCTGTGCGTAGACGAGTCGCTGTACATACCCTAAAGAACATTTTTTGCGTTTGTAGATGCCGTGCGTGATGTCAACGTCACGAACCAAACTATGTGCTCGTTCGACGTCACCTCACTGTTCACGAATGTGTCTTTATTTGAAACGATTGAGTTCATTTGCAACTTTGTTGACGAGAGCCATCTTAATATTGGCATACCAACTTTGGCCCTGAAAGAATTACTGCCAAGGTGTACATTTAATGTTCACCTTCTTATTCAATGGGGATATATACCGGCAGCGCGATGGAGTTGCAATGGGTTCCCCGCTAGGACCATTCCTTGCTGATGTCTCCATGGGTATGTTGGAACAGCGTAACTTGAAAGCGGTCATCAACAGCCTCACATTATACCACCTTTAGGTAGATGACATCTTCGTCCTAGTTGACGCCTCTGGTCACACCGAGGAGCTCGCCTGCGTATTTAACCAGACTCACAACGCTATACAATTCACCTACGAGATAGAAGAAAATGGCGCTTTTCATTTTCTTGTTGTAGCTCTAAAAAGACTTGATGGTGGTGCAGTACAACGTAGCGTTTACCGAAAGTTCACTTGGGGTGGAGAGTACACAAACTCTCATAGCTTTGTACCGCTTCGGATTAAGAGAAACGTGGTCCTCAGTCTCGTGAACCGGGCCGAAAGAATCTGCTCGAAGGATACTCTTTACGAAGAGTTGCAGCTCATACGATTGACGCTTAAAGAGAATGGCTGCCCAGGGAATTTTATTAATGTCAATATGGGGCTAAACAGGGAGGCACCTAAGGTCCTGACGGCGGAACGGAAACCTATTTTCCTGCAACTGCCTTACAAAGGGATAATAATATCAGAGAATCTATCCAGCCGTCTCCCGTCCACACTCAGGAATACCTTCCCTGCAGCGAGGCTGCAAATCCGGTTCACCAGTAGCCCAATGGTGAGACTAAACTTCAAGGACAAGCTGCCTGTCCACACCAAATCTATGTGTGCTTACTTCTTCACCTGTTCCTGTGAAGCAGGCTACGTTGGTCGTACGACAAGACGCTTAGCCGAAACGGTGAGGGAACACCATCCGGCTTGGCTCGGAAATGGAGGTCAAAAGGCCACCAACTGTGCCATCGCCGCGCATCTTACGGATACGGGTCACGCCACCAAGTCGGCTGATTCGTTCAAAGTAATCTATCAGGCCCCCGAAAATCGATCAAAGTATTTCCGTAAGCGGATATTAGACGCCGCAGAAGCCATCGCCATCCGGTTGTACAAACCAGCGCTGTGCACGCAGAAAAGGTTCACTCACGCGTTGAGTCTACCTTGGCCAGGACGGACTGCAGTTGACCTGTACGCACGTACGACTACAACTGGAACCTGACCGACGGTTTGTCATAGCGCACTAGAATCAATTTGGCTGACTGACGACCCGTTGGGTCTGTGTGCAAGCTTTGGGAAATATCATGGACTTTAAATTGCTCTAGCCCTGACCATTGGATGCCTGGAAATCTGCAACTCCGATGTATTGTGCGAACTTTTTGGTAATTTCTTGAATCATCGGCTCGGAAATTCGTGCGTTAGCTGCCCCCATTTGCTTGACCAGCGCAGCGTAGCCTCACAGAATTCATGGTTTGAGGTTATCCATCTATCTGGCTGTAGATCTCTTTCATTATCGTATGTCTCCAATTACTTGTGTTTTTGTCTTTGGATGTTGCTAACTGTTGTCCTACTAACATCCAAATACTTTACCTTCTTTCGTTGGCCACTGCTTTCCAGAAAATGTTGCACACTAAACTTTACTTTCAAAGTAAACTATCGGTGGTCTTTTCTTTGAGCCATAACGTTGAATTATTCCTAATGACCGGTCCTAAGTGCTTCAAAGCAACGAGTGAATCTAAGATCTACGGTTTTATTTACATAAAGTTAATTGCATACAATAGCTAGCCACAATTGGTCTCATCCTCAAACCGACACCAAACAGAGCCGGATAAACGCTCGACAATTAATGCGTGCGTAAACCTCAATCCCGCCATAATGCAAGGTGCTAATGAAGCTGGTGCTTAGATCTGGTGATTAGTTGAGGGTCTGACAGTCGCTGAAACTCCTGATTGCGATGAGTGGACACATGGTCTTATGGGTGGACGAAAGCTTGCTTGTGGACACGTGAGGGAGTTTGGACACAAACAGTTCTAGGTCATTCCGTTGGCACGAATCTGTGGGGACTCACCTTGATCTAGCTGATAAGCGTGCGCGTAAACGCTGACGGCGGTAACAAACACACAGAGAACATGCTGTATCCTCACTGTTTTGGGGGTCAGAAATCCCGGTGCACACCGTGTTACTGGAACAAACGAGTCATTCGGGATCTATTGGATGGTAACCACTTTAATGGTCAACTAATGGAGGTTGAATGATTACTGACTTTCATTGCCTAAGTGATCAACATGCGGTGGTCAACTTACAGAGGTCTGGTTCCATAGGGTTTACAAAGTGACCGTTCAAGCTATAAAAAGTAATCATCGTAAATAAGTGGTCAATATATAGTGGTGATCAACTTTGGTTTTACTGTACTTGAATTGGCTGATCGGTTCACCTATTCAGCGTGCTGCATCATTGCCTACTGTGCGTATTGATGGTATCTTCTTTGTCCCAAGTTTACAACACAGATTGAAGAGGGTGGAACATCATCTCATCGGTAAAACCACGCGTACACAACGATTCAGTGGTCATTGTGGCTGTGTGATTCTGCGCTTTTGTGATGTGCGAGTAGACTGGTTGCCTTTGATCATGGGTGCATACGTATCAATGCGCGCATCTGATGAGGCCAGGAGCGCAACGCCAAGGTACATCCCTTGATCTTAGGTACCAAACTCCCTGTCACCGTACTGGACTATCAGTAGATCTTGTTTTCTCGAGGTCAATTAAGCCACCCTCTTTGCTCGACTGCTAGTCGCTTGATTTTCTGTGTTGTTTGCCTATGTTGCACGCGATTGCGTAACACCACGTGGTGGTCAATCGATGGGATGGAGTAAAAGCATAACCACATTGAGAGGAAATTTTGGTCAGGTTGTTAAGCACTCCGTGTCTGGATCTGGACTTCGAGATCACTTACACTCGCTGCTAGATGTCAAACTTCACCTCGTCTGAATGCTCTAGGCACTGTCGCTTGTTTCTGCAATTTTCTTCCCTTCTGCAATGTCTTTACCCCAAATCTCTTTTCCGTTGAATTTACGTTTGACTTTTTCTTAACGTCGTTCTCATGGATCATTGTCTCCGTTGTATCACCGCATTTTGGCGGGTTGTTGGGATTAACCTAATTCAAGCACGGCGGTACGCTTCTACTTTTCTGCTATAAACGGGACCTTTGTTTCTGTCAATCATAGTGGTAATACCATCCAAAACAGCCTGAATCACCTCTCCTGTATCTTAGTGCCCATACTCTTTTGGCCATCTTTCCTTTCAACGAAGGGGTGGATAATAATTTAATTGTGCTGTTATCGCTAGTTGTCTGCGTCACACCCCATACAGCTGTGCAAATTAAACACTCACATGTCTCTGATACGGGTCGTGTTTCATTTGAATTCAAAGTAAGCGACCATTGTGATTAGAAAAATCGTCACAACCTTTGCTTTCTACGGTTTACGACCTTTGGGTTCGTGAGTTTTCCCCATAACAAGCAAGTATATACCACGGCAATTTATGAGCAATTACCTTTGGGTGCCTTGCTTAGGTCCTAACGACATATTGGGCTGTTCCACTGTTATGAAACAAGAGCGATTGTAGGGTAACTGAACGAAGCATGTTCGGCTGAAGTCGCGGGGTCTGCCTCAGTTCGATTTTGCCCTTTCGATGTCGTTTGGAGCCGGTTGATTATACAGAATACTGACATATTTTGCATAAACGGGAATCCGCTTGTTTAAATCCACTTGTTGCATCTTGTTTTCCCTTCACTCATGTTCCTTTAACCTATTAGGAGATACTTGTAGAAATTGTGAAGTCAATTTGTCTCATAATTCATTATGTAATGTTTTAATAGTGTGCTCGCAGAAATTTTTTTTCGTGAGTGCGATCCCCCGAATCCAATGCGACGTTAGGCTTGCAAGATCGATAGTACATCGCACACGATTTACGGTTCTTTCTGACCCAGGTGGACTTTGAATTACGCATGCGTTTTGTGCATCCACCTTTGTCGCCCAACGCTTTATGACGTCAAACTCTCTCCACTTCTGTGTCGAGGTATGCGTGATATCAAGCATCATTGTACTCTCTCTGCGGATCACTTTGAAAGTACTGTCTCTGGAAATTTGCGTTGTCGGATTAGGACCCATGCGGTCGACCAACATCCATGTAACACACCGGGTTTTGTGAGCTTCACCCATTTTGTAAGCCTTTGATGGCTGACAGTGATGATTTACTTACACTCGCTTCACTGGGACACAGTATTGACAACTGAAGCCGACGGAAACAGAGAGAGACCCCAAGAATGAGATGTGCACCGACCATTTTTGCGCATGACCAGCTACCCATCTCACAATGTTGCCCGTTGGTTTACGAAGCAGTTGGTACCCATTCGTAAATTCCTGGCTACCTGTTAAAGACTTCTTCGAATTAGTCGTGACACCGGAACATACGTCACTATACACAGAGCGCATGTACTCGATAGATGTGGACTCACTTTTACTTGTATACCCGTACGCATTTTAGCCGAATTGGCACCCTCTTGATTACCTGATTACGTCGTCCCACCTACTACATAACCATACCTTTCTCTCTCTTTACTTTGCCTGGTATAATCCCACCAATTTCATCTCAGCTTCAAAAACAGTCACCGCACCACAGTCGATCAGTTGACGCTTATTACACATAAGTGTCTCGTTTGACTTGAATTACTGCCCTTAAATCATGTGACGTCATACTCTTCTGTCTTCATGCTACTTTTGGTCGATCATTTGAACTAGTTGTCTAATTTGTTCACTTTCAGTGGATACCAAAACTAGTCCCCTTCCACTACTCTCCGCAAGACAACTGGCAATCGAGTTGGACTCTGTTAGCGTGGATTGGAGCCAGCTGAGCAGACGAGACGTCCCTTGCGCAAACTGCCGTACTCTATTGGCCCTGACTGACCATGCGGTTAGTGAAATACTGGAGGTTTGACTAAATCCTTTTTTCATTCGGTTGCTCCATAGTGCCCCTTGATAGGAGCCACGGTTTGCCTCTATACCTCCAAAAACGTGTTTCGATCCACCAGAAATATTCAAATTCTATTACCTTGTATCCGAATCTCGCATGAATCGTCCCTTGAACCTTCAGCTAATTTTAAATCTGCCCCGGGTAGTTTTTCCGCTCATTTTCCTACATTGTTTTACTCAGACCTTGTCATTTGTTGTGTCGTATCTGCATATAGCACCTGACGTTGACTGACCTAAGCCCTCGAGCATTTATAGCGTTTTCACTCTGTACTCACTCATCGCCCTTTTAAACGTCACGGTGTTACGTGCTATTATGCCTGTCGGCCCGTAGCCTCGAGGTAACGAGCTTGTCTCGTAATCTTACGGTGCGGGTTCGAATCCGCATCCTAGCTGCGTGCGACTGTTGGTGGTCGCACGGCAGCGAAGCGCCGTTACGGCGTACAGCTGATCCACACCACTCCCACTATCATGCCTGTGTTTCTGATGGAATCTCAACAGGGTTGTTTTATGAAGAGCAGTCTAAAACCTTTGTGCATGCGGCCGAGCTTCCTGCACTGATTTGCCCATCGAGTTAGGCGCTTCACCTGCAAACTCTTCGGTGCACGACAACGATCCCCACCGACCGCCGTTAGAACGGTGCGATAAACTTAGCTTAGATCTCTGGGATGACCTCAGCAAGTCTGCTAGCCATTACGATGGGCCAATAGCCGCTTGTTGACCTACGTCCAGCGCCACCTGCACTAAGTTCTGACAGTGTAAATGGTTGACGGCATCCGCTTTCGGATTTGACTTTCACTGCGGCCTCCATAGGACAGCTACAGGACGCCTACGTTGGCGGTGCACTACCCACAGCTCCATCCACACACCCTCTATCCAGTTTAAACCCGAAGGAATAAGACCGGGAGGCATGGGCATGGGAGCCGCATTTCATCAACGGAGCCGGCCCATACTTCTTCAACAAGCAGAGCAGAAGCATTCATGCTTGTTTGGGAAATCATGCGTACCAGACATATACAAGGTGGCGGCTGGGCCGTGGCCCGTTCCACGCTGGATACATGGAGCCACTTTTTGAGCCTAGCACAGTCCCGAGGACCGTGCACCCCGTCTCCTCCAACAACGACCAACTATTTCCTGGAGCCAGTATAGTCGAGTTGGTGGGTACTAAAGGGCTAGGCACCTTGTCAACATTCACATCAAGCGCAGCCACACCGGGGATATCAATCAAGTTGCAAGAACTGAAATGCAGGAATCTCAACACGCAAGCACAAGCACAGACCAACTGCAACGGCGATGTGGCACACCTACCACATTAACCCCCTTATTTACCCCGGTTAGCAAATTGAATCGGAAGCAGCGAAATTACGTTAGTTCGTGAGCAACTCACCTTGATCATGTCCTGGTAACGTTGCTTCAGTTTTCTCACCTTTCCTTTCCCTGCGCTAACTTGTTCATATAGCTTCTCCGTGGGTATCCGCGTCGATTATATGTGGCTAATTTGCCCAAGTCACCTGAGGTGCCTCAGCAAAAGTATGTAGTTCACTGCATACATTCCACTTCGGCGCAACATTTCCGTGTCCGCAACTTTATCGTACCAACCGATGCGCAGAATTCGACGCAGACACTGTTAATGGAATCACTCCGGATATCGGACATCCTTCCGATAAAGCGTCCAGGTTTCGCTGTCATATAGAGGAACGGACAGAACCATGGACTTGTACACTCACAGCTTCGTCCCGACAGTGAGCTGTTGGTTATTCCACACACGACATTCCGGCTTACCAAATGCATCAACGCTTTTCGATACGCGGTTGCGCAACTCACTCGTTATCTGCAGGTCGCTTGTTATTACCCTACCAAGGTAACAAAATCTCGAAGCAATTTCTAACGCTTCATCAGCAACCTGGATTTTGGACAGGCCCTCGGCCTCCATTCCGAATGCATGCCGGAAAGCATCAACCGTTTTGCTTGTATTACTTATGAGTAGAAGGATTTTTGGAGTTTTTTGAGCTCGCCACAATCAGCCGACAATTCAGCTAGATCAACTACTAATCCGGGTGCTTTCCCGCATTAGTAATTGATTTATCTGAATCGTCGGCTGTGTTTTACTTGTTGGTAGTGAGTCCGAATCTGGCCGGTGTCGAAGCCAGTGCACTAGTCATGTGCTGCAACTCATCCGCGCTGTGTGAACCAACGCACAGTCGTCAGCAAACGGAAACATGGATAGTTATGTCACAGACTAGGGTTCTCGCACCGAAACGACGGATGCTCAGCAACCCACCATCAATACGGTGCTCCACATGAACACCGTAAGCACAAGTGGCATCAAAAGCACAAGACATCATTGCATTATGGTGAATATTAAGCAGGACAGGAGCTAAGCTACAGCCTTGCTTCACACCAGCGACAACTGCAAAGTTATCTGAGGTGTCTCCACTCAGCTGAACCCTCGCTCGCATACCACTGTGCAAACATTCAATTAAACTTACAAACTTACGCGGGCAACCAAACTTACCCAACACCAACCACAATGCCTCGCGGTTCACCGTATCAAATGCCTTGGTGAAATCAACAAAAAGCGAGTACAACGGCTGGTGTCGTTCCCTGCACTTCTCCTGCAACTGACGAGCCGCAAACACCATATCCATAGTGCTGCGACCCGAGCGGAATTTACACTGCTCTTCCGCCACGTTAGGTTCCACAACCTGACTGACGAGGCGGTTGAGTAGGATTCATGCAATTACCTTGCCCACACAACTCAGCAAGTTGATGCCACGATAATTCGTGCAACATTGCCTACTACCTTTTCCCTTGTTCAGTGGTAACACAAGGGCATCCTTCAGCTCAGCAGGCACCTCCTCCTCAATCCACACGCGTTGAACCTAATGATGCTGTGCATTTAACTACGCGGGTTCGCCTTATTACAATACTTCCGGCGAGATCCGTCGGCACCTGCACACTTGCCGATTCGCAGCTGAGCAAGTGCTCTCTGAGACTCATTCACTGTCGGTGTGACAGTAAGACACCTTTTCATGTCTTGTTGTTTCAACCTGTGTAACTTAATCCGATCAACCTCTGCACGGTTGTTCAAGAGACAGTCAAAGTGTTTTCGCCAGATCTGCATTATGTTTGCGGTCCGTGTGCAGTCTCCGCCAGAAATACCATCGATTGACGTCCTTAGCGGCTCCAACTTCGATCCCTACACCGCCTTCAAGGAGTCAAAGAATTCCTTGTGTTGGCGGCGTTCGGTATAGCATTCCATCTGCTTCGCATTCTCCGTCCACCATGCATTTTTGATGCGACGGAACTCTCCGATCATCCGTCGTGCAATTCGCCTAAAATTTCTCTGCTTCCTCAAGTTACTGGGGTCTGCCAAATGTGCAGCAAATGCTGCATTCTTCCCCGACACCAATGCGCTAATCGTCGCATTGTTCTCATCAAACCAATCAGGCTGCTTACAGTTTGTACGCCCGATAGTCTCCTCGGCAGTAGCTGTCAGATGATCGCGGATGTGGTGCCACAGGTGACCCACTCTAGCTATGCATTCCACATCACACAGGCGTGCAGCCATCGCCTTCTCCAGCTCAATACCTTTCTCCACAGTAACGAGGGAGAGGATATTAAATTCACACCGGTTGACGGCAGGAGTGCAATACACAGATTTACGAAAATAAATCTACGGTTTGATCCGCACTAATTTGTGATCATTGCCCCACCCAGCTCCCCGCATTACACGTGCCATGCGTACTTCACGCATATCACGCTGACGTAGGATGACATAGTCGAGCAGGGGAGCGTAACCACTCCGTGGGTGCGTCCAACTTTCTCTGTCACTGGAAATCGTGTTTTGAGCTTGTCAGGCCGTGAGTGGCACACAGTGAGAGCAGCCTGTCCCCTTTAGCATTCGCTGAGCCAATGCCATGCGGACCGATAACATCTGTCCACACCGATGCATCGCGCCCAACGCGCGCGTTGAATGCGCCCAGCAGAAATACTTGATCGCTCCTCCGCACAGAGTTATCACGGAGGATAACTGAATGTAGTATTGATCACGCTTGTCATCGGGATAACACACGGGCGGACCTTACGTGCTTATAGAAGTGGCAAACTTTCCTCTTCTGAATCGCAAGCGAACAGTCATCAGCCGCGCGCTGATGCCTGCTGGTTCACCCACCGGCTGGCCATTTAGACGACCGGAAAGTGCAGGTCAGACCCCATGTTCATCTGTTGATTGGGTGGCGTTTCCCACCCGGTAGACCGTATAGCCGGCTCCTAACTCCACGCAATTTACCTTGCTCTTAGAGCCGGTTCTCGTTGAGCGTCGCGATATGAATGTTGTAGTGCGCCAGTTTCATCGCGACCTGTTCAGTGTGTCGCTCGGTACCCTCACCTGTATTTCGATAGAGCAAAGTGTACACGTTCCATCACTCGATGTTGAGCGCTTTGCGCGGAGGCATCCAATTGCATTGGCGGGCAACCGTATCGGTGATGACGACCTGGATTGAAGGAAGCAGCAGGTTAGGCGAAAGGGGCACGAGGAGAGTATGTGTACGGGAAGAAGAAAGGAGGCGCCAACAGTAGCATGTTTTGGTTAATCTACCCCGCTATATGAAGCAGATAGGGCGACCCTTTTCCTATGCCACTGCATGACGGTCGAAACAACACAAGTTTATTATTATTGGCGTAATTATATTTGCCGGGTGGGGCTAGGATACTGCCAGGGCGTCTACACCTGACTGGAAAACCACTCGGGTCCTCAGCCAAAGCCTTCGATTAAATGTACATCCGAAGGGCAGCGGGCCGTGAGTCAGCGAACCGACCCACGCGGAATTGCGTCCTGGAAGTTGGGTGTAACCTAACTCCCACCCAGCGGTCTCAGGAGGAAGCATCCAGAACATGAGCCCACAGCACGACATTAGCAGTTGCGCGTCGACGATCTGTCAGCATCTCGCCACCGAAAACACTAGCGCACCATGACCTCTCCCGACGGTATATATATATATATATATATATATATATATATATATATATATATATATATATATATATCTGCGAACAGTTGGATGTAGCTTTGTCACGAACAACTAAATCGTCAGCCCTAGCAAACTTTATCCCAACCCATTTTGATCAGATGTGATCTCTGAATTTTTCATTGGTAGCTGTTGCTCCGAACCAATGTTAGCCATTTTAGCCTATACATTAATCGCTTGCAGCATTCGCATTGTTACCATTACCGTCATTGTCCATTGATATCTCTACTTTTGTGTAACTCTGTCGTCTTGCTACGTTTTTCGTCGTATTCACTTTTTTGCTTAAGCACTTCTCAACCCTCCGTTTGTTCTCTCCACAGACTCACTGTCACCGGTGCGGGCTTAATGTGTGCTCCAAATGCATGCATCCCACGGCGCACCACCTTGCTGGTCTTCTCCCTTCAGTGCTCTCCACAGCTTGGTTGTGCGAACGCTGTGTCACTCAACCCTTAGACACTATAGCCGCCACAGATGATCGTGCGACACGTGGAGATCAATTACATCCATTCACATACACCTGATGAGAATTATTCGCTGCAGTTTTACTTGTCAGTGTTTTCTTCTTCCATTCACGATACAACGATTCTTGAGGGTGCGCTTCCATTATCAAATGCACTCATCTGTCTTCCACTCAGCTCAGTGGTTTCATACCCTCCGTTTCGTCACTGTGGTTGGCACTCCGAACAACACAAAACCTCTTAAGCATGCTGGTTGTGACTGTTCACTACCCCTGCGCCACCTTTCACGTGATAGTGTTGTTTTCTGTTTTTCCTTCACTGATTTCATATCAGGATCGATCTTCTTCTCCACACATTCCACCTATTTTCCATATGTTGTTCTGTTCAAGCTATGGTGAACAATTGCGACACATTTTCTACGAAGGAAACACTCAACCACATGTGATGGGTTTAGCCACCACGGCACCTTATCCGTTTCCATTCAGCGCCAATACCCCAACTTATTTTCAACTCTGTGTCGCAGCCAGCGATGTATGCTGTGGCACCAACCTGCGCAGCTCATCAAGGGTCGCCTTATCTGCTGCGTACATCAGGGCGGATATTCGAACACATGCTACTGCTGGCGCCTCCTTTCTTTCTTTTATACCCATCTCTCTTACTGCCTTCCTGACCCCATTACTAAACTTCCCTCTCTAATTCCAGCTTAATTGACAGCAGCCGTAATGCCACAGGAGTCGAACCATCTGCACCTACCTTCCCGCGCCACCCAATGGACGTCTATCGGCAACAGCCCCTTATAAGTCCACGCTGTCCCGTTTCCCTAGCGACGTTCAACGTTTGCACTTTAAGACAAATAGGTCAACGGGGTGCACTCGTGCACGTTAAACACGCGGGGTATTGACTTGTATTGCCTATTCGAAACTAAGATCAATGACTCTTGGAGTTGTTGAATTAAATGCACCCGGCCTGTCTTCTCGCACGCATCCAGAGGCACTGATGCGGAAACCACTGGTCAAGTTAGGATAGGATATCGTACTCAGCTCCAAGGCTGAGTCATCGTTGGTTGATTGGATTCCGGTGAACAAACGTTTGCGTGCAGCCCGTTTGACGGCATCGACCAAGCTTGATTCACGAAGTAGTACAATACGCTGTTTGTTAGTGGTTTCCTCTTACACATCCCCCGACTACAGTTCTGATACTGCCAACGACACATTCTCTCACGAATTGAACACACTACAACGCAGTGCTACCAGTTCAGATGTCATAATACCTGCAGAGGATATGAATGCACAAATAGGTCGCCTGGGCTCTTCAGAAGTTCAGCTAGTTGGTAAATATGGACTTAACTCCGACCGTACGGATAACGGCGAGCGTCTTTTGCAACTGTGTGCGGAGCACCAGCTGTTTCTTATTAGCACCGCTTTTAGACACACTGGGCACCAAAGTGCCACTTGGCGTCCTCCTGTAGCTGGCCAGCGATGGACCCAAATTATTCACATTGCTATAAGTTACAGGTGGCGTGGTTCCATCCTGGATTGTCGCCCGTTCTGGAGTACTTCCGTCGACTCTGATCGTGTTTTGGTACGCCGTCGCTTTTCTATTAACTTTGCTGCGAGGCGCACCAAGCCTCTCCCCAGATTGGCAACTGAGAAATATCTCAGCCCTCGGTCAGGCAAGCCTACCAGGATGCACTGCGTACCGAACTTTCGCACCCTTTTCCCAGTGACACTGAGTCTCAGTTGAATAGTATCTCGGCCCCCACGCACGATGCAGGGGCATCTGCTTCTGGTACTATCAATCGTCACCGCACCAGTCACTAGATATCCGAGATGTCGGTGAACCTGTTGGAATCTAGAAGACACCTCCCGGCTGTCTCTGAGCACGATGTGACCAGACGGACTATTAGGCGCGAACTAAAGCGGAGCCTGCGCACTGACAAGGAAGCCTGGTGGACCACTAGGGCTCAATTAACGGAGGAGGTGGGTGCAGTAAGGAACTGTCGCAAGCTCTTCCAGCTGATTCGCGCCACTGGTCCCAGCAAATCAGACGTCAATGAAATAGTCAAAGACAGCGCGGGTACTCTGATTCACCATAAGGGGCGCGTATGGCTCGCTGTGCGGAACACTTTCAAGATCAGTTCAGTTGGCCCCTGCTTCCGAATCTTTACCTACTGAGGTAACGCAGCTTGAGCCATGGACGGGTAGTTTAAAGCATCCATCGGAGGCCGAGGTCTGAAACGCGATCAAAGCCCTCAATCGTTTTCATGCCGCTGACCCGGATTCCCTTACATCTGTACTATTTAAGTGTGGAGGTGTGGTCCTCTGCAAAGCATTGCCCTCACTGTTTGAACATGTATGGAAAGAGGAAACTGTCCCTACTAACTGGAATGAATCGAGCATAGTGGCTATATACAAGAAGAGCAGTCGCGCCGGCTGTGCTGACCACAGGGGTATTTGCCTAACGCCAGTAGTGACAAAATTACTGGTCTCAATCCTTGTTCGTCGCCTCACTGCGGAACAGGAATCCCGCATTAGGGAAGAGTAGGCAGGTTTCCGTCCAGTACATGGCTGTATAGACCACATATTCATTTTGCAACAGGTGCTAGAACAGCGCCACGCAGACCGACAATAGCTGTGTTCCTTGTTTTCAAGAGTGCGTTCGATTCAGTCTATCGATCCATTCTGTTCGACATACTTGCGCGGATAGGTGTTCCCACGAAATATGTGATCATCCTTCGTGCTCTATACTCGAACACTACAGGCCGCGTCAGGGTCTACAGTAATTTATCGGATGTCTTTCCGACAACAAGTGGCGTTCGTCAGGGTTGTTCAATTTCTTTGTAGACTCCATCATGGAGTGTTCCCTTACAGAGTCTCACGGTGCAGACGTTTTGGTGCTGTTTGGTGAAAGGTTAGTTGATCTTGATTATGCGGACGATATCATCTTGTTCTTCGACGATGTTGCAGCGGCACAATCAACCCTGAATAGCCTGTCTAGAGTGGTCCCATTATTTAATATGCGCTTTGCACCTTCGAAGTGTTGCTGCAGGACCACCAGCCACGCTCTGTGTGGTTGGATTGTGACACGCAACTGTTGAGATCTCGGTTCACTTTGATGTAGACCTCGATCATTCCCATTGCAAGGACCGTATGCAACATGGAAGTATTTCGGTGTTGCTCCACCCAACACTGACACACCACGACCGCGGTTTCGTCCTGCTTTGGAATCAACAGGTGGAGATAGCCTTAGCTGGGGTGGAACTCAGAGCTTGGTGGTTCACGGCTGAGGCCCTGAACATTTTGCTACTGAGATCCGCGAGTAACGCTTGGCACAAGTCTACCTCAAAGTGAAACGAGGTCTCAATAGAGGTTACTTGCCACAATCCAACCGCACAGCGAGTTCTCCAAGTCCAATTTTGATTTCCCTTCCGCTATGCCAAGCCTTGATCGCGGATCTCAGTGGCATAGGGTTCAGGGCGTCAGTCGTGAACCACTAGGCTCTGAATTCTAACCCATCTCAGTCTATAACCACCTGATGAGTACAAACCAGAACGAAACCCCGGCCATGGGGTGCCAGTGTTGGGATGAGCAACACCAAAAATTTTTCCATTTCACATACGGTCCTTTTGATCGGAATGATCGAGGTCTACCTCAAAGTGAACCGAGATCTCAACAGAGATTGCCTGTCGCAGTCCAACCACACAGCGGGTTCTCCAAGTCCATCTTTGAACATCCAATTATTTTTTGATAATGTCCGAAGTATAGGAGGACACAAGTGAGTTTATGAGAGTTCCAGGGTTGATAAACTCGGAGGGAAAAGTAATTCAGTCGACACCTTAGGCTCTTTCCATCTCACTCTATTTCAAACAGCTACCCCTGAGCTGCTTGTTGTGGTTGAGTTTCAGCAAGTGGCGGGCTCAAAGTTCAGCAGATCGCCCGTCTAGGAAAAAGAATGGAGGGCAAAAGTCGGCCTATGATGGTACCTTTTGTTGAGGAAACAAGTCCAAAGTTACTCTTGTCCCGTCTTCATAGGCTGAAGGGTCTAAAGATTCACGTGCGCGCTGACTTAGACCCGGCAGACAGAGAAAAGCTCAAGTCTGCTATGATCGAACTAAAGCGACGCACGGAGGATGGAGAACCCAATCTGCGAATTGTAAATTTTCGGGTAGTTGCCCGGAATCATCCACGAATCCGGATCAACAGGTCTCTAATGCTTCAGGCGCGCCCAGCGGTTCCTACCGCGGTCTGCGCGTAGCCTTTACTAACGTATGCAGTCTGATGAACAAGCGCGATGTGCCATACGGCTTTGTAAGCTCTCAGCGACCAGACGTATTAGGCCTTGCTGAGACATGGTTAAACTCCGAGGTAACCGTCCAAGAAGTGGAAATCACCGGCTACTCATGCTTACGCTGTGATAGACCATCAAATGATCGCGGTGGCGTTCTGCTTTACATAAAGTCTTCTTTGTGTGGGAGACTAGTGAGCGCCTACCAAAGCGCTGATAGTCTATGTGAGCAGTTATGGTGTTCGATTCACCTCAGACGCTGCGAGTTGCTCGTGGGCGTGGTATATCGCAGCCCACTGAGCCGCAGTTTGGACTGGTTGCCGCATGTCCGCAACCGCATGAGTCGTCAGATATTCCTACTCATGGGCGATTTCAACTTGCCCCGAATACAGTGGCCTGAAGCTGAACTTCTCCCCGGCCACTGTGAAGTCGAGAGGAAGTTTACGGAGTTGATATTTGAAACCGCGGCCACACAGCACATCAACCAACCGACACGCATTACTGCGCGTGCGGCTCCATCATGCTTAGACCTACTTTTGACTAGCTGTGAGCAGCGTGTGCATAACATTCAAGTCTTAGAGCCTCTGGGAGCGAGTGACCACAGCTTGGAACTACCACTGCCGTATTCTCCCCCACTGGAGCCAACCTTCAACTATTGGAAGGCGGACTTTAATGGCCTCATTCGAGCAGCGCGCCAGATAGACTGGTCTTTACCACAGGATTCATCTATTGAGACCAGTTGGAGTATCATTAAAGAAGGAGTAAAATAGTTGTGCACCCGATTTGTACCCCTCAAATTTCGAAAAGTCGGGCCAGTCATACCACATTGGTTCGACAAAGAGTACAACAAACTGGCCCGACGACGACGCAGACTATGGAACAAGTTCGTGTTATCTGGCTCTGATGAGGACTACAATGTGTATAAGGTACAGCAAAATCGCTGC